GAAGGGCATGAAATCGGCAGTGATATCTTGGGTCTCTCTTCGTGAGGTATGTCAGCGTTGCAAATGAGAAACATTCGCCTCTCCAGGCTTGCTTCAACCCCTCCCTATTCTGACTCAAGCCTGGCGTGATATAAGCATGAATTTCGCTGAAGGTTTATCGAACACCAAGGGTAAGCAGGCTATTCTGGTGGTCGTGGATCGATTCACTATAGTTGCTCACTGCTTCGGGTTAAAACATCCGTGCTCAGCTGTAGACGTAGCTATGGTCTTCTTTGATGGAGCGTTCAAGTTTCATGGTATGCCCTCTACCATTGTTTGTGACAGGGATGCCATTTTTACTAGCCAGTTTTGGACGGCGTTCTTCAGATTTCAGCATACAGATATCCATTACTACTGCATACCACCTCCAACTGATGGTCAAACATAATGAGTGAATCGTTGCTTGGAGGACTATCTCCGTTGCATGACTTTCCACATGCCACAGGACTAGACAGAATGGTTGACACTGCCTGAGTGGTGTTATAACACTCATTATCACCTCACTTTGCAGATGACACCCTTTGAGGCTTTATATGGGTTTCCTCCCTCGCATTTTGGTTTGACACCTTCAGCTGTTACACCAGTGGGTGCTGTGGAGGAACGGGTCAAGCGACAACATCAGCTGGTGCAGTATCTTACAACTAGTATTTCCAAGGCACATAACAGACAAAAGCAGTACCCTGATAGAAGAAGATCGGAGAGGGTCTTTCAGGTCCATGACTGGGTTTACTTCCGTCTGCAGCCATTTCGACAAGGTTCAGTGGTGGGATGACAGGGAAATAAGCTGGGACCTCGATACTTTGGCCCTTATCAGATTGTGGTGAAGATAGGCGCAGTGGCTTATCGGTTGGCCTTACCTGTGCAGTCCAAAATCCACCCTGTGTTCCATGTATCCCAACTGAAGCTGTGCAAGTCAATTGTACCCTCAACAACTGTCCATTTCCTGCTTCTGACGACAGTGGGACCTTGAAGTTAGAGCTGGCTCAGATCCTGGCACGCCGATTCATTAACCATAATAATCGAGCGGTGACGCATTTCTTGGTTCGATGGATTCATCAGGCTGATGAAGATGTTACTTGGGAGGATTTGGTTTCTCTCAAAAGTCAGTTTCCCGTTTTCCAGCTTGAGGACAAGCTACTTTTGAAGAGGAAGGGTTTGTAACAACTGGATGACAGCTGGAAGAGTGATGTGTACAAGATGACAACTATAAATAGAGAGAGAGAGAGAGAGAGTCGTAGATGATTGTGCATCTTTTATCCACAACTAATCTGTTACTACTTTACCAAATTGTACATAGTAATAAAAGTAGCTCTACTCTTCCCACTTCTATTCCTCTCGATCTCTTCTTCCCCAAGTCTCCTTTTCACCAGATTTCTTCCATCCAGAACCTTACAGCCTTCTCGAGCACAAAGAAATCGCAATTGTGGTCGATGTCTTCTCCTTAAACGCCGGGTCGTGGAAGTGGTTTACCTCCGCGGCTCCGCAGTACAACATCGTGGAGCGCCGATCTCAGGCTTTCGTAAACGGGTCGGCGGGCGACAACAACGAAGGGTACAAGAACGTGATTATGGGTCTAGATCTACAGGTTCGGATTTTTTTAATTTAAAATATTTATAATAATTAGGTGAAAAAAAATATTTTATTATTTTTTAATTGCCGCGTAACTCATTAATGGTCAAAAGTGAGAATTGACTGTCACATCAGCAAAAGTTAACAAAGACTAACTGCCAGTGACCGTCACATCAGAAATAAAGTAATTCTAGTGGCTAACGTGAACTTTACTTAGGGGTGGACAACGGGACGGGATGGGATACCCGTCCCGTTTGAAACGGGTACCCAATCCCATTTGGAGGGGAAACTCCATCCCATATCCCAAACCCGTATGGGTTAACGGGTACCCATTACCCGTACGGGACGGACAACGGGTACCCAAACTACCCGTATATACCCGTCCAACTAGTGGAAAATCCGAGAACCACGAAAATTTAACACAAAATTAAACAAATACAAACCTAGTTAATAATGAGAAACCGTCAGTATTTAAACCCCAATTCAACAATTAAAGAAAGTTAAAAGAGAAGCCTACCGCTACTGTCAATTATTGAGGGAGGAGGGGGGCTATCATCTTTTTGCATACGAGATGATTTGAGTACTGTTATTGGGTACTGTTATGTATAGTCTTTTTGTATACGAGATGTAATGGGGATGTATTGGTTAGTGATGTCTTATAATTGGTTATGTATTTTGTCTATTTTATAGGGAAGGTTTGCTAATGGGTATTACGGGTACCATACTACCCAAACGGGTAACCCGCGGGTACCCAATGTAAGAATCATTGATCTCAAGTCCCATCCCGAAAAAAAAATTTACAGGTATTTGGGTACCCGTAACCCTTAAAAAATGGGACGGGTATGGGTATACCCAAATACCCGTTTCCCGTTGTCCACCCCTAACTTTACTAGTAATTCAAGTGACCAAACTTGCAATTTAGCCCAACTTCCCACTAAAGAATTTAAACATATTTCCTGAAACTAATAAGGATCGCCAATTCTCCATCAATCCATCATCAAGTTGAAGCATCCTTCTTCTTCGATCACATCCACTAGCATCAAGCTCATCCAGTCGACGGTTATGAACCCTTCTTCCTCGCACCGCCTGCTGCAAGTTCACCCGCGAACGGTGATGAACTAATAAGAACTGCACCTAACCCATCCACATACACATCCACTCCCTGCAACTGCACACGCGACCCTCAAGTTTTCTCTCCCACTTTCTCCTCTGTATCAGTGATGCAAGCAAACCATACTTAAACCATTCAATGTATCTTGATCATAGAACGTTGTTCCCGTGACTGAATTTGATTATTGATTGCTCAATTCTTATCATTAATAGAATCAAAATGTTTGCTTAAGTTCATTATTAATGCCGCTAGCTTCTTCAATCATTGACATTTTCTTTCGTTTGAATAACACCAGGTTGTGATTTCTTTCTTTGTTTCTTAAATGAAAATGCTCTCTTTTTTATGACTTTTTTCCAGTAGCACAACGATCAAGTCTCCTACTTTCAAAATGTCTTAACCCACATAGTTGCCAGTGGCACAACGATCTCACTTTATTGTCATCTAAATTTACCATGATATATGATCATCATGTTGTTGCAACTTTAGTTCCTGCGACGTAGCCGCGAGTATTTGATTAGTAGATGGAATGACCACTCCTTACATTAGAGAAAACTACAAAACCTGATTTGACCATAACCTGGCCATCCATTCATCATGAATCTGCAACTTAAGTCCCCGCGACGTAGCAGCGGACATTTTTTCGAGTAACATATAAAGTTACTCAACAAGACCATACATGTGCAATTTGATTAAGAATGAAATATCCCAATACTTACTTTCAGATTAACAGAAGTACTGCAAGTTACTTCTCTAGTATGTTGAAATCAGCATGCGAAGGGTACATAAATAAATCGTCATTTGCTAAGAACTTGCAACCACTGAAGAGAAAGTAGACTCCCATTGGTAATAGTAGTATTAGAGTCTAAAGGGTTGTTGAAAAACGAGAGGACATTTCTGGCACTTTCTATTAGTGAAATATCAAATTGGAAGTAAAAAGAATTGATATGCCTAAAAGAAATGTGGGAGTCAGCATATAGACAAAGTTGGGTGAACAAATTAATTTGAGTTGCAGCCTTGCACAGTTGAAGGATTTGGTATTCGGTTTGCTGCTCAAGAATGCAGGATTTTGTTGAAGTTTAAGTGGGTAGTGGACATTGCTCTGTCTCTGGATTGGGAATAGACTTGGCAGGGCTACAAATGAGTCAAGCTGCTTGCGAGCAATTCGACGTCTTTGAATTGAAAAAAAACTCGTTTGACACTCGGCTCGTTATTTAACAAGTTGGTTAACGAGCCAAGCTTAAGCTAGACCATACTCAGCTTGATAAGTTCGCGAGCTAGCTTGATTGGTGGCTTGTTGAGCTAAGCTCGCAAACTGGCTTGTTTAGAGTTTGTGGAATGATTAATTAATCTTCTAAACATGAACATTATCTTGTTAATATAGATGTGTATGGAAGTTTGCTGTTATTTTTAGTTTCTAGTGTTTTTTTATCATTTAAATTATTTATTATGTTTACACATTTTCAACAAGAAAGAGTAAACTTATAATGAGCAAGCTGTGTACTCAGCTTGGCAAGCTGTGTACTCGTCTTGAGCTAAGCTTGTACTCAGTTTGGCAAGCTGTGTTAATGAGCATTTATCGAGCTCTACCAAGTCGAGCTAGAGCTAAAATTATTTTGATTCAAACCGAGCTCGAGCTCAAGCTGGATTATCAAAATTCGAGTTCGAGCCGAGCTCGAGCTGAAAATTTTATAACCAAGCGGAGCTCAATTCAAGCAAAAACTCGGATCGACTCGACTCATTTGCAGCAGCAACACCTTTTTCTTTCTTTTGTTCTTTCATCACCTTCCCTGCCATGGCTGCCAGTGAGGAAAGGTCCTATCTGTGGCCGCTGCTTCTATTTTGTTTTACCTTGAGTTTTTCGTTCCTTGCATCTTTGTTACGTTCTTTCAGTTAATTAATAAAATTGGTATCATCATGACCTTTATGTAGTAGAGATATCAAGAACCAACGATGGGAGGGAGAAAGTGTACAAAATGGTAGCTGTTGGGGGGCCATTGGGAATCTCTTGGATGTTTCTCCAATGGCTATACCAACACAAAAGAGTCCTCTCCTCTCCTCCCCTGTCTTGTATACCAAACAAAATCACAGTATTCATTCCCCCACACACACTTCCCGTGGCTGAAAATGATTCTCCTAGTAGGCTGTTACTTGTTACTGTCTGATATCCACCACCGAATCTTCAATTGATACCCTTATAAAAACTCTCCCAATGTAGAAGAAATGGTGACAGACACTCCTACATTCCACAAGAAAACAATTGCTAACAAACAGGAGGAGCATTATGGGTTCTGCCAAGGCAGTGTTGTTGCTTCTGCATCTCCTCCTCCTCGCCACTCTGTTTCTGAGCTCTGTTTCGTCCCCTTGCTCTCCACCACCGCTGCAGACACCACCGGCCGCCGGCAGCAGCAAGTGCCCCGAGGACGCCTTGAAGTTCGGGGTTTGTGGTAGCTGGTTGGGATTGGTTTCCGAGGTTGTGGGGACGAAACCCAGCAAGGATTGCTGCACGTTGATCCAAGGGGTTGCGGATCTCGAAGCCGCATTGTGCCTGTGCTCTGCCATGAAGGCCAACGTTCTAGGGTTGGTGAAGCTGGAAATCCCCATCGCCGTCACTCTGCTGGTCAATGCCTGTGGAGGGAACATCCCTCAAGGATTCAAGTGCACTTGATACTAATTAGTGTCATTCAATTTCCCCTTTGTGTTTTGTAGTTTGTTATGTCTCCCGCCGGCTGGTTTGCTTCCGTTCTCTACTGTCCCAATAAATTGACGTTGTAGCAGCTGTAGTAGTAGTAGTTAGCAGTTGTAGTGGCACAAGTTGTTTCTTCCGCCTGATCAAAGAAGCATGAACTAATTTTTCACTCTGCCTTAAATTTTCACTCTACCTTAGTTGCAGCATTCTTTGGAGCAGTTGCAAGTTCTCTAGACTTAGAGAACTTTTACCCGTTTCCCATAACTTTAAGCGAAATTGATGGACATGTGGACAGCCTTTGGTACTGTTCTCTTCTTCGCAGTTGATGATTCTTCCCCAACGCCAACAGTCTTCTTAGTTCCAACTTTTGTCTGAGACGGTGAACTTGTCTTCTGTATTAGCGGCAGACTTTGAGATTGGGAGTCTTGATGTAGTAGCTATTATGGTTCCACTTTTACTTCATGATGATGAAGCAGAACTCTTCCTTGTTTTGTTACTTTGTAAATCCACAACATCTTGTGCAGCAGCAGGTTCCTGACCGTTCAACAAACAATGCATTAAAAAAAGGGGGGGAAAAACCAGGACAAACACAACAAAAGATTAAAAACAGTTGGTCAATGGCTCTCTTTTTACCTTGATAATTAGTGTTAATTGTTCCATCTCACCAGTATTCTCTATCTGCTTAAAAGTTTACACCTGATTTTGACCCTTATTGACCTCAGCTTCTGATTCTTTAATAATCACTAGATATGCCGCTGGCTTGCATTGAGTTGAAGGGGAAATTTGATCTGCTAACTTGAAGATTCGTTAGCAGATACTAATTGATATTCAAATTACATGAACTAATATCCAAGTAGTTAAGTATCTAGAGAGCACAGACCAATATTCAAAATTTGCTAACTGATATCCACCATGATCAACTATTATCCCAAATTCACAAACTAATATCTAGACAATACATAATAGTATCCAAACAACACATAATTAGTATCCAGATAACACATAAGAGTATCCAGATAACCCATAAGAGTATCCATATTGAATACTAGTTGGTTGCTTGTGGATATTAGTTGGTATATGCTATCTGAATACTAGTTTGTGCTATCTAGATTCTTAGCAGACTTGGATATTAGTTCATACATTTTGGATATCAGTTAGTATATACTAACGAATCTTCAAGTTAGCAGATTAACTAGGCTGGAGTTGAAGATAGGACGTTAATGTGTCGTTATGGAAGAATTAATAAAATGTAATCCGAACGACATAACTCCAAGAACTGCAAGAAAAATTACTAAGATTTTGAGCGGGTCAGATCATGTGCTTAAGCCTATAGGTTTAAGCATTTGCTTAAAGCATTCCTATTGGCTTGGGAGGAATCTGGGTAGTTAATGGAAGTTAGTGGTTAAAAATAAGTTATGGGTAAATGGGGTATTACAGAAATATAATTAATATTATTAGTTGCTCGATGGCTCTCTTCTTTACCTTGATAATTGGTGTTAATTGTTCCATCTCATCAGCATTCTCTATCTGCTTAAAAGTTTACACCTGATTTTGACCCTTATTGAGCTCAGCTTCTGGTTCTTTAATAATCACTAAATATGTCCGCTGGCTTGCGTTGTGTTGAAGATAGGACGTTAATGTGTCGTTATGAAAGAATTTATATAATGTAATCCGAATGACATAACTCTAAGAACTGCAAGAAAAATCACTATGATTTCGAGAGAGGTTCGTAGTAATAAGCACGTCACTGAAAGAAAATGCATTGTCAGAAACTCGGAATATGCGTGATCGAAATACGTGTGATTAGTCAATTTTGAGTTGAATAGTCAAAAAATAAGAAAAATTGTTAATCTAAGAATTAAAAAATTGATAATGCATCAACGCAATACACTTGAATCGTGATTAGAATAGTAATTTTGTAGAAATTTGTAATCGAAAATTGCATCACCAAAATACACGTAATTGAAATACGCATGGTCGATGGGTGTATATGCATTCCTTAATCTCCTATAGATGGTAAAAACATAGTTAACAATTCCAAAATATTGTCAACATATTATGAATATGAAGATGTGGATGCCCATTGTCCATACATTATATTAATCCCTCCACGATTGTGAGCTATAATGCGTGCTCTTAGGGTTGGAAGTTTGTTACCAGTATTTGGGAGGATATACCAAATTGCGTACCGAATTTATCAATATTTGGTATTACCGAATATTAGCTTATTTTTTAGGGATTGGGATTGAGATTCATTTTGGAGTGCTATTTGGTATTCAGGATTATAGGATTGGGATCGGTATATACCGAAATACTAATAAATACCAAAATTAAAAAATTAATGAAATATAGCACATAACCTTTAGTCGTTTCTCACTCTTTCACAATTTAGAAGCCCCCATCCAACTCAATTTTGACTTTACAGTTTAAGCAACTCTCATATCTCACCTAATCTCTTGTTATTTTCATAACACAAAAAACAAACACTAGTATTAGTCGTCTTTCAGCCTACAATTAATCAAATTAAAGATTACCAATGACAAGAATTTGAGATGTCACCTCTCATCCATTCTCCTTATCCATATCCTAGCTCCAGGCAAACTCAAGTCTCTTTGCTTAGTCTTTGCCCTAAATTAAATAATCAAATCTAATTTAAATATTTAATTATTAATTGCAAAGGTAATTAATTTTGTATTCGAGTAATCTTTTACTCCCGGTAGAAGTTTTGGTAAATACTATATACATCAGAATTTTGTGATTAACCCATAACCGACCATCAACTTCATTGAATTACTCAAGAGTAATACTTCGTAGATCATTATATCAAGTGGGCATATACTCAAATCCGGTCGATGACCGCGTCCCCTTTTGGTAATACATGTTATGTGCCGAATTACTAAATTGACAGGTAAAATTCATTCCCAACCTAAAATTCGGCAACACAAGGTTGAACTCGCTTTGACCCGGTCGAATTAGGTTTAATACACATGGATTTGGGTTCAATTGTCACCAAAGGAAATAAATCCGCAACTGACCCAACCCGTCAATTACAAAAAGTGAGTTAAGAGAATTAGTTAACGACCCAACCCGACACATGTAAAACTTTACCCAAAATTTGTTAACACCGAGTTCAACTCGCTCTAACCGGGTCGAATTCTTTTGAATACCCAACTCGTAATTAATCCTTCTTCCTGAAGCAGAAGTAATGAAACAAACCATTATCAAAGATTGTTCTACGCACTCAAGTTCTTGCTGATCTGAGTCAATTCAAGAAGTGAAATACCATTATCACAATTGTTTTACATGTTCAAGATCCTGTAGATTTGAGAAGTTTTACCATTGACATGAAGGTTATGCCCACCCAAGAGATTAGTGACAAAATAGCATACGATAATCTAAGAACACGAGGATTTAACGTGGTTTCCCTGATGATCAGGACTAGTCCACGGGAGAGATAGAACTCTCCAAGGGAAACTCTTATTCGCGTTAGGGTTTTCTGAGGTACACGTTACATATTTATACTAATACAGGCAGTTGGCTATTTACAAGGAAGTACCCAAACATATAATTCAACACCCTCCCTCAAATTGATGTTGGGTGCGTAACATCAATTTGGACGAGAGAAACCAATGTCTACTCGAAGCCAACGCCTTAGTCAAGATGTCTGCAGTCTGATCTTCAGTCGAAAGGTAACCAACCTGCACCGTACCCTCTGCAATCAACTGTCGAATATAATGCACATGTACCTCAATATGTTTCGTCCTATCATGCAACACAGGATTAATGGCAATCTGTATAGCACTCGTGTTATCTCCATAGATCTTCATAGGACGCTGACATACCATATCCAGTTCACCAAGCAACCTATAAAGCCACTCCATCTCCGAACTCACTTTCGACATCGAACGATACTCAGTTTCTATGGATTACTTCGATACCCGGTCCTGCTTCTTGCACCGCCAAGCGACAAATGACCTGCCTACACGTATACACCATCCTGACGTTGAACATCGAGTATCCTTGCACCCTGCATAGTCAGCATCTGCAAATGCCTCAATCACTGGCTCACTGTTCGCAGGAAAGAACATCCCAACCTCTTGAGTCTGCTTCAGGTATCTCAGTAACCTATGTACTGCATCCATATGCATGGTTCTTGCCATCCCAAAGTACTGACTTACCACCTGCACTGCATAAGAAATATCACGACGAGTGTGAGTTAGATAGATCAAGCTACCTACTAAGCTACGATAGGAGGACTGATCTTCCAAAAAATCTCCACTATCTCGCGTAAGCCGAATATTTTGCTCCATGGGCGTGGAGCATGGAACACACTCGTCATAGTGAGCCGCCTTCAGAAGATCCGTAATGTATTTATTCTGCGAAACAAACAAACCTTCATCATTGCGAAGAACCTGCAAACCGAGAAAATATTCCACATTACCCAAGTCCTAAAAGGACCGATGCAGTAGATCCTTAAGAGCCCTGATCCCCTCAGCACCACTCCCCGAAATCACCATATCATCCACATAAATCAGTAAAACAATAATCCCATCGATCGTGCGACGTATAAAGAGAGATGGATCATTTTGGCTTTGAACAAACCCATCCTGTACTATGGTACTCTGAAATTTCTCAAACCAGGCACGTGGTGCCTGTTTAAGACCATACAACGAGCGAACCAATTTGCAGACCATATTTGGACCACCCTTGGTATATCCCGGTGGGCGTTCCATATAGATAGTCTCCTTAAGATCACCATGAAGAAATGCATTCTTCACATCCAACTGGAACAATGGCCAACCCTTCATAGCAGCTACCGCAAAAACACATCAGACTGTCTGCATCTTCACAACCGGAGCAAAAGTCTCCTCATAATCAATTCCATATTCTTGCCTAAAGCCCTGAGCGACCACCCTTGCTTTAAAACGTTCAAGAGTACCATCAGAGAGCATTTTCACATTATAAACCCAATGACTGCC